CCCCGCTTATTTCACGACTACATTAATTCTAGCTTTGCCTGCGAGTCTAGAATAATTTGATGCTTTTGCTCAGATAAAAAATAATACTATAACTGGGTCAGATCCTCTTTCTGTTCACATCGCTGATATCTTACTCGAACCTAGCTGCACGTTTTTGACACACTGCTTTGGAAAAGTTAAATTTTATGGGTAATATAGTACAAGTATTCAAGAAAATAATTGTTTTGGAAAAGTTATCTTGATGCTTTTGATTGGATCAAAAATTGCTATTACCTGGTCAGATCCTCTTTCTGTTCACATCGCTGTATTTTAATCAAAACCTAACTGTATTTTAATCGAAACTTGGCTAGTATTTTAATTAACCTAGTGCATTTTAATCACTTTGGCTGTATGTTAATCTAACCTAGCTGTATTTTAATCGAACCTAGCTGTATTTTAATCAAACTTGGCTGTATGTTATCGAACCTAGCTGTATTTTAATCGAACCTAGCTGTATTTTAATCAAACTTGGCTGTATGTTAATCGAACCTAGCTGTATTTTAATCGAATCTAGCTGTATCTTAATCGAACCTAGCTGCACTTTTCCGACACACTGTTTGTATCGCGTTACTTGCAGCACTGCCGATCGAAGATGCTGAGCAGTCGGAATACATGATGCTCGCTATCACCTCGCACGGAGGTCACCTGGTTTCCTCGAGGGCTGTGCCTCGGGGTTCCGGTACTCCGATCGCGTGTTCGAGCAGTACGCGACGGCGCTGTTCAAGTACCATGAGATTAACGGCGGCAAGAGTGCGGAGAAGGAGCCGGTGTCCTTCATGTTGTAGTTACGGCTGATGTAGTCTGCTGCGAACTGGGTGCGACCGTTGACCGTTGATGTATTGCAGGTTCAGAGTTGCTTGTTGCAGATGTTGGCTGCGATTAAAATACAGCTAGGTTCGATTAACATACAGCCAAGTTTGATTAAAATACAGCTAGATTCGATTAAAATACAGCTAGGTTCGATTAACATACAGCCAAGTTTGATTAAAATACAGCTAGGTTCGATTAAAATACAGCTAGGTTCGATTAACATACAGCCAAGTTTGATTAAAATACAGCTAGATTCGATTAAAATACAGCTAGGTTCGATTAACATACAGCCAAGTTTGATTAAAATACAGCTAGGTTCGATTAAAATACAGCTAGGTTCGATTAACATACAGCCAAGTTTGATTAAAATACAGCTAGATTCGATTAAAATACAGCTAGGTTCGATTAACATACAGCCAAGTTTGATTAAAATACAGCTAGGTTCGATTAAAATACAGCTAGGTTCGATTAACATACAGCCAAGTTTGATTAAAATACAGCTAGGTTCGATTAAAATACAGCTAGGTTAGATTAAAATACAGCCAAGTTCGATTAAAATACAGTTAGGTTTGATTAAAATACAGCGATGTGAACAGAAAGAGGATCTGACCAGGTAATAGCAATTTTTGATCCAATCAAAAGCACCAAGATAACTTTTCCAAAACAATTATTTTCTTGAATACTGTACTATATTACACCATAAAAATTTAACTTTTCCAAAGCAGTGTGTCAGAAACGTGCAGCTAGGTTCGAGTAAGATACAGCGATGTGAACAGAAATAGGATCTGCCCCCGTTATAGTATTATTTTTCATCTGAGCAAAAGCATCAAGAGAACTTTTCCAAAGCAATAATTTGCCTAAATACTGCACTATATAATTCCATAAAAATTCATTGGGATTTCACATTGAAGACACTTCTATGAGAACAGAACACCTACCGTTAATTTATACTCAGAGAGGAAATTACATGAAACCATTCAGCACAAATTTTTCCAAAAAAACCTAATGAATTCTGCAAGTACTAAATCACTACCATAAATTATATACATTATAAATGATATATTTAATGTGTTTGTAGTAGATCAGAATGATATAGTGGGTTGCATCAGACCACGAAATGCTCCACGCAGGTACATAACACTGTAAATGTTATATTTTATGTGTTTGTAGTAGATCGATATGATATAGTAGGTTGCAGGGTATTAGCCAGGAATGAGTATTGTGGAGTGCAGAAAAAATATTTGGGAGTGCAATTTTTGTGTGTGTCTCAGCCAAGACAGCCTCAGACAGTCTTCACAGAGGGGAGAGTATGAGAAGGGGGTCCATTTTTAAAATTAAAATTATTTCAAAACTGACCGTGCAAATCACGGCTGCACGGCTCGCTGGCTAATACGTTGGTGGGTTGCCTCAGATCATGAAATGCTACACGCAGGTACATACCGTCGTAGGGTGAGAAGCAGTCGTCCCCTGCCGTCAGACAAAGCAACGGCACCTTTATGGAATCGATTTTGTCATGCAAGCAGGCATCCTTGTAGTAGTCATCATTCGTAGCATAGCCAAACACTTTGGATGTAAACCTTTCGTCAAACTCTCTTACCGTCTTTGCCTAGCACAATGTAATCGAGTAATAAGAGAGAGAGATCTGATTGAGAGAGGGAGATAGAGTGAGAGAGAGAAAAAAAAAAGAGAGAGAGAGAGACAGAGAGAGAGAGAGAGAATGACAGAGAGAGAAAGAGACAGAGACAGAGAGAGAAAGAGAGAGCCAGAGACAGAGACAGAGACAGAGACAGAGACAGAGACAGAGACAGAGACAGAGACAG